CCCGCTAGGTGATAACCACAATCTCTTCTCCTCCATTCTCCTCTGAGGATTTTGGTCATGCACACACACATGCCCGGAATGTTTCTTAAGTCACTAGGTCTGGTACTTGAACTGCATAGTTGGCCATGTGGATTCCAGCCATTTTAACCACCATGGTATCTGATTGGCCCAGTGGTAACTATATTTATACTATAACGTTGCCTTATTAGTACTATTGCACTTAATTGTTTGGTTTTTTTGAGAGAGATTTTTGCTATAGGGTGCATGCTCTCACCGGAGAGATAGAAAGCAAGAAATCACCCCCCAGAGGGGCTGGCCATGCCACAGTCCCTTCTCCATTCTCTTCTTGGGATTTCGAGCACACATGAACACGCACCGGGCGTGAGTTTTAAGCCACCAGGTCTAGTATTTAAACCACAGTCAACTACATGGGAGTCCAGCAATTTATAACCATTATGCCTTCTGCTGGTGCTAAATAGTTTTTTGTTTTTTTTTTTTAAGTACAAGTACATGCTTCTAATATAATTATTTATATATTATATAAAATATTTTGCATCTATATGTTAAATTTATTAAAGCTTAATTTATTTTTTGTATAAAATACAATACAAATATAAATTTTTATATTTCCTTCTCACACTTCATTGGATCATCTTGGAAACTCCCAGAGTTGTATGAATTATACTTTGGTATTGCCTTAGAGCACAGAGCAAGTACCTGTAGGGAACACTTGCAGCAGCATTTGGCACAACAAAAGAAAAACATTTTTCAAAGTAGGTATTCTGATGTTTACTGTTTTAGTTGCTGGCATTGTAGCCAAATGTTGTCTGTTTTTCTCAATACTTATATAATAATTTATAACATGTGCCACTTACTACACACTGCTTTTTATGGTGAGCATTTCTATTCATAAAATGGGAGCCTTAGGTTATTACCTAGCACAATGTGTGACAAATGATAAGCACTTAATAAATGGTAGATCATTCCCTCCCTTAATCTGTTATTTGAACTTCACTCATATAACTAAAAAAACATTGATAGTTTTTTAGTCCAGTGGTGATTTAATCACAATAATAACTTAGAAAATATTAATATGACAGTTTGCAGTATAAAATGGATGAAGAAAGCCTAAGGGCAAAGTTAGTGAGCTAGTTTAATATTTATACCTCTTTCAACACTTTCCAATCACATTTGGGAAGGAATGTGATATAGTGGAAAAAACATAGATTTTGTAGCTAGGTGTTCTCATAAGCAAATGTGAACAGGCCATCAGTCTAGCAGTTCAGAATTTTTCAAAGGGGAACAGAGAATTGCTAGTTGAGAATTGTTTCTGTTTCTCTCCATACCCACTCTTGCCAATAACATTCTGTAAGAAGTTGCATGTGTAGAATCAAAAGATATAACCTAGCCCCAGCCACATTGGTACATTGGGTGCTACATGGTAGGTCACATGGGTTCATTTCCTGGCTCACCCTAATAGCCTGGCACAGGTACACACCTGTACTCCTTGTTTCTTAGGAGGTTGAAACAGGAGAATTTGTGATGTGGTGAGACCCTATCTTAAAAACTCTCTCTCTCTCCGGACCAGCAGTTAGAGTAATGGCTATGTCACTGGACTCCCATGTAGTCGACCATGGTTCACATCCCGGACCCGGTGGCTTAAAACTCACGCCAGGCGCGTGTGCATGCGTGCCCAAGATCCCGAGAGGAGAATGGAGGAGAAGGGATTGCGGCGTGGCCATCCCCCCTGGGGGGTGATTTCTTGCTTTCTGTCTCTCTGTCTGGTGAGCACACACACCCTATGGCAAAAACCTCTCCAAAAAAAAAAAAAACTCTCTCTCTCACACAAACACGCACACACACACACACACAAGCGCCTCATAAACAAAGGTGAAAACAACAGA